GAACGTGGTGCCGGCACAGCCGCACCAGCAACTTGGACAGGTCACGCCGCTTTTGCCTCCACGTTTGCACGTCCTTGGTCCACAAAAGATGTGTCCGCCTCTACCACCTCTTCTTCCGCCGTGTCCTCAGCCGCCGCCCCCCCCCCCGTGCCAAGTCCCATTACCCGACCGGCATATCACATGTGCAGGGCGCAACGGTGTCACGCTGTGCTGCACCTGGTATGCCTTGGCGAACGTAGTCACACAGGGGAGGAACTTCTGAGTGTAATGAACAGAGAAATCGACAGATGGCTGTCTCCGCGCAAACTGAAAATCGGAACCATGTTGACCGACAACGGAAAGAACATGGTGTCTGCTCTGCGTCAAGGAAGGTTGTGCCATGCGCCATGCATGGCTCACGTGTTCAATCTGGTTGTCAAGCGGTTCCTAAAATCCACCATCCCACTGCAAGACATCCTTAAAATGTCACGTAAACTTTGCATGCATTTCAGCCATTCCTACACCGCAAAGCACACCCTCCTTGAGCTGCAGCGGCAGAACGGAATTCCACAGCATCGCCTGATCTGCGACGTTGCAACAAGGTGGAATTCAACCCTACACATGTTAGACCGCCTTTACGAACAGCGAAAGGCCATCACCGATTTCCTGATGTTACAAGCGGATAAAGGTACTCCCCTGTGTAACTTCGATGTCAGCCATTGGCAGCTCATGCGTGACACCTGCCGCTTGCTCAGGCCCTTTGAGGAGGCCACGCTATTCGTGAGTCGGCAGGACTATGGGATGAACGACGTCATTCCTCTGTTGCACGTCCTGGAACAAATGCTGTTAACAATGGCTGGTCAGGGTGCGGTAGACGTGGCGCACAGATCTCAACGCCACATGACCCCTGTGGGGGCAGGACAGGAAGAAGAGGAGGAGGTAGAGGAGGACATTTGTGCTCAGGAATTATTGAGTGAAATGGGTGTTTTTTTTTCCACTCAGCGGACAGGAGTGGAGGAGCAGGAGCATCTGGTAGAGGAGGAGGAGGAGGAGACAGAGGACCCAGACGCACCGTGGCAGTATGCTGTGGAGATGATGGAGGCAGGGAGTCCCTCGCATTCCTTGGCACAAATGGCCCATAGCATGCTCGGTTGCTTGCGTAGCGACAGCCGAATAATAACCATCAGACAGAGGGATGACTTTTGGCTGTCCACCTTGTTGGACCCTCGCTACCGTTCAAAAATGGTGGCCTTTTTCACACCTGCTGAGAGGGAGGCCAAAATAACGTACTATAAAAACCACCTATGTAGTCAGTTGGTCTCTGCCTTTTCTGCGCCAACGTCCATCCTCAGACACTGTGGGCCCTGTGCGCTCGCTGCGCGTTCCGCTGCCATGGCAGCAGGGGAGGGGTGGGGTGGTAGGAGCAGTGGCAGCTCCACCAGCAGCGGCTGCCTCAGTCTGCAGTCGATGATGAGTAGCTTTCTTCACCAGCGCAGTGAGGAAACTACTAACCAGCCGCAGCAGCAGCAGCAGCATCAGGTGGACCTGGAGCAGGACCTCAAACAACAGGCTTGGGCCTACTTGGACAGCCCCCCTGCCAACCGAGGTAGACAATCCCCTTGACTACTGGGCAACGAAACTTGACCTTTGGCCCCAACTAGCTGAATTTGCCCTTGAAAGGCTGTCATGCCCGGCCAGTAGCGTGGCATCGGAGAGCGCGTGTTTAGTGCGGCAGGAGGTATTGTAACTCCGCGGAGGACACGACTGTCCACCCAAAGTGTGGAGAGACTCACGTTTGTGAAAATGAATCAGGCGTGGATTAGTCTGGATTTCAAACCACCAGTTCCTGACACAACTGACTAAATCCGCCATGAATCATGCCCCAAACATGTGCCACTTTCAGGTCTCCTCACACTGCTGGTGTGTTCCATTTTTTGTCATAGGGTGCTGGCAGCAGATTACGGGCCTCCCATTGCTGCTGCCAGGCCCGTAATCTGCCATGGGCCCCCTGTACCGCCTCCTCATGCTGCTGCCAGGTCCAGAGTCTCTCATGGGTCCCTGTACGGCCTCCCATCATCGCCACACTCTGCCATGTGCCATGTGCCACTTTCAGGTCTCCTCACACTGCTGGTGTGTTCCATTTTTTTTTTGTCATAGGGTGCTGGCAGATTACGGGCCTCCCATTGCTGCTGCTGCCAGGCCCGTAATCTGCCATGGGCCCCTGTACCGCCTCCTCATGCTGCTGCCAGGTCCAGAGTCTCTCATGGGTCCCTGTACGGCCTCCCATTGCTGCTGTCTCCATCGCCACACTCTGCCATGTGCCACTTTCAGGTCTCCTCACACTGCTGGTGTGTTCCATTTTTTGTCATAGGGTGCTGGCAGATTACGGGCCTCCCATTGCTGCTGCTGCCAGGCCCGTAATCTGCCATGGGCCCCTGTACCGCCTCCTCATGCTGCTGCCAGGTCCAGAGTCTCTGGGTCCCTGTACGGCCTCCCATTGCTGCTGTCTCCATCGCCACACTCTGCCATGTGCCACTTTCAGGTCTCCTCACACTGCTGGTGTGTTCTTTTTTGTCATAGGGTGCTGGCAGATTACGGGCCTCCCATTGCTGCTGCCAGGCCCGTAATCTGCCATGGGGGCCCCTGTACCGCCTCCTCATGCTGCTGCCAGGTCCAGAGTCTCTCATGGGTCCCTGTACGGCCTCCCATTGCTGCTGTCTCCATCGCCACACTCTGCCATGTGCCACTTTCAGGTCTCCTCACACTGCTGGTGTGTTCCATTTTTTGTCATAGGGTGCTGGCAGATTACGGGCCTCCCATTGCTGCTGCCAGGCCCGTAATCTGCCATGGGCCCCTGTACCCCTCCTCATGCTGCTGCCAGGTCCAGAGTCTCTCATGGGTCCCTGTACGGCCTCCCATTGCTGCTGTCTCCATCGCCACACTCTGCCATGTGCCACTTTCAGGTCTCCTCACACTGCTGGTGTGTTCCATTTTTTTGTCATAGGGTGCTGGCAGATTACGGGCCTCCCATTGCTGCTGCCAGGCCCGTAATCTGCCATGGGCCCCCTGTACCGCCTCCTCATGCTGCTGCCAGGTCCAGAGTCTCTCATGGGTCCCTGTACGGCCTCCCATTTGCTGCTGTCTCCATCGCCACACTCTGCCATGTGCCACTTTCAGGTCTCCTCACACTGCTGTGTGTGTTCCATTTTTTGTCATAGGGTGCTGGCAGATTACGGGCCTCCCATTGCTGCTGCCAGGCCCGTAATCTGCCATGGGCCCCTGTACCGCCTCCTCATGCTGCTGCCAGGTCAGTGTCTCTCATGGGTCCCTGTACGGCCTCCCATTGCTGCTGTCTCCATCGCCACACTCTGCCATGTGCCACTTTCAGGTCTCCTCACACTGCTGGTGTGTTCCATTTTTTGTCATAGGGTGCTGGCAGATTACGGGCCTCCCATTGCTGCTGCCAGGCCCGTAATCTGCCATGGGCCCCTGTACCGCCTCCTCATGCTGCTGCCAGGTCCAGAGTCTCTCATGGGTCCCTGTACGCCTCCCATTGCTGCTGTCTCCATCGCCACACTCTGCCATGTGCCACTTTCAGGTCTCCTCACACTGCTGGTGTGTTCCATTTTTTGTCATAGGGTGCTGGCAGATTACGGGCCTCCCATTGCTGCTGCCAGGCCCGTAATCTGCCATGGGCCCCAGTACCGCCTCCTCATGCTGCTGCCAGGTCCAGAGTCTCTCATGGGTCCCTGTACGGCCTCCCATTGCTGCTGTCTCCATCGCCACACTCTGCCATGTGCCACTTTCAGGTCTCCTCACACTGCTGGTGTGTTCCATTTTTTGTCATAGGGTGCTGGCAGATTACGGGCCTCCCATTGCTGCTGCCAGGCCCGTAATCTGCCATGGGCCCCTGGCCCCGCCCTCCCCATACCGCCCTCCTCATGCTGCTGCCAGGTCCAGAGTCTCTCATGGGTCCCTGTACGGCCTCCCATTGCTGCTGTCTCCATCGCCACACTCTGCCATGTGCCACTTTCAGGTCTCCTCACACTGCTGTGTGTTGTTCCATTTTTTGTCATAGGGTGCTGGCAGATTACGGGGCCTCCCATTGCTGCTGCCAGGCCCGTAATCTGCCATGGGCCCCCTGTACCGCCCCCCCGCCTCCTCATGCTGCTGCCAGGTCCCAGAGTCTCTCATGGGTCCCTGTACGGCCTCCCATTGCTGCTGTCTCCATCGCCACACTCTGCCATGTGCCACTTTCAGGTCTCCTCACACTGCTGGTGTGTTCCATTTTTTGTCATAGGGTGCTGGCAGATTACGGGCCTCCCATTGCTGCTGCCAGGCCCGTAATCTGCCATGGGCCCCTGTACCGCCTCCTCATGCTGCTGCCAGGTCCAGAGTCTCTCATGGGTCCCTGTACGGCCTCCCATTGCTGCTGTCTCCATCGCCACACTCTGCCATGTGCCACTTTCAGGTCTCCTCACACTGCTGGTGTGTTCCATTTTTTGTCATAGGGTGCTGGCAGATTACGGGCCTCCATTGCTGCTGCCAGGCCCGTAATCTGCCATGGGCCCCCTGTACCGCCTCCCTCATGCTGCTGCCAGGTCCAGAGTCTCTCATGGGTCCCTGTACGGGCCTCCCATTGCTGCTGTCTCCATCGCCCACACTCTGCCATGTGCCACTTTCAGGTCTCCTCACACTGCTGGTGTGTTCCATTTTTTGTCATAGGGTGCTGGCAGATTACGGGCCTCCCATTGCTGCTGCTGCCAGGCCCGTAATCTGCCATGGGCCCCTGTACCCTCCCCTGCCTCCTCATGCTGCTGCCAGGTCCAGAGTCTCTCATGGGTCCCTGTACGGCCTCCCATTGCTGCTGTCTCCATCGCCACACTCTGCCATGTGCCACTTTCAGGTCTCCTCACACTGCTGGTGTGTTCCATTTTTTGTCATAGGGTGCTGGCAGATTACGGGCCTCCCATTGCTGCTGCCAGGCCCGTAATCTGCCATGGGCCCCCAGTACCGCCTCCTCATGCTGCTGCCAGGTCCAGAGTGTCTCATGGGTCCCTGTACGGCCTCCCATTGCTGCTGTCTCCATCGCCACACTCTGCCATGTGCCACTTTCAGGTCTCTCCTCACACTGCTGGTGTGTTCCATTTTTTGTCATAGGGGTGCTGGCAGATTACGGGCCTTGCTGCTGCTGCCAGGCCCGTAATCTGCCATGGGCCCCTGTACCGCCTCCTCTGCTGCTGCCAGGTCCCAGTCTCTCATGGGTCCCTGTACGGCCTCCCATTGCTGCTGTCTCCATCGCCACACTCTGCCATGTGCCACTTTCAGGTCTCCTCACACTGCTGGTGTGTTCCATTTTTTGTCATAGGGTGCTGGCAGATTACGGGCCTCCCATTGCTGCTGCCAGGCCCGTAATCTGCCATGGGCCCCTGTACCGCCTCCTCATGCTGCTGCCAGGTCCAGAGTCTCTCATGGGTCCCTGTACGGCCTCCCATTGCTGCTGTCTCCATCGCCACACTCTGCCATGTGCCACTTTCAGGTCTCCTCACACTGCTGGTGTGTTCCATTTTTTTTTGTCATAGGGTGCTGGCAGATTACGGGCCTCCCATTGCTGCTGCCAGGCCCGTAATCTGCCATGGGCCCCCCCTGTACCGCCGCCTCCTGCATGCTGCCAGGTCCAGAGTCTCTCATGGGTCCCTGTACGGCCTCCCATGCTGCTGCTGTCTCCATCGCCACACTCTGCCATGTGCCACTTTCAGGTCTCCTCACACTGCTGGTGTGTTCCATTTTTTGTCATAGGGTGCTGGCAGATTACGGGCCCCCTCCCATTGCTGCTGCCAGGCCCCGTAATCTGCCATGGCCCCTGTACCGCCTCCTCATGCTGCTGCCAGGTCCAGAGTGTCTCTCATGGGTCCCTGTACGGCCTCCCATTGCTGCTGTCTCCATCGCCACACTCTGCCATGTGCCACTTTCAGGTCTCCTCACACTGCTGTGTGTGTTCCATTTTTTGTCATAGGGTGCTGGCAGATTACGGGCCTCCCATTGCTGCTGCCAGGCCCGTAATCTGCCATGGGCCCCTGTACCCGCCTCCTCATGCTGCTGCCAGGTCCAGAGTCTCTCATGGGTCCCTGTACGGCCTCCCATTGCTGCTGTCTCCATCCACACTCTGCCATGTGCCACTTTCAGGTCTCCTCACACTGCTGGTGTGTTCCATTTTTTGTCATAGGGTGCTGGCAGATTACGGGCCTCCCATTGCTGCTGCCAGGCCCGTAATCTGCCATGGGCCCCCCCTGTACCGCCTCCTCATGCTGCTGCCAGGTCCAGAGTCTCTCATGGGTCCCTGTACGGCCTCCCATTGCTGCTGTCTCCATCGCCACACTCTGCCATGTGCCACTTTCAGGTCTCCTCACACTGCTGGTGTGTTCCATTTTTTGTCATAGGGTGCTGGCAGATTACGGGCCTCCCATTGCTGCTGCCAGGCCCGTAATCTGCCATGGGCCCCAGGTACCGCCTCCTCTGCTGCTGCTGCCAGGTCCAGAGTCTCATGGGTCCCTGTACGGCCTCCCATTGCTGCTGTCTCCATCGCCACACTCTGCCATGTGCCACTTTCAGGTCTCCTCACACTGCTGGTGTGTTCCATTTTTTGTCATAGGGTGCTGGCAGATTACGGGCCTCCCATTGCTGCTGCCAGGCCCGTAATCTGCCATGGGCCCCCCTGTACCGCCTCCTCATGCTGCTGCCAGGTCCAGAGTCTCTCATGGGTCCCTGTACGGCCTCCCATTGCTGCTGTCTCCATCGCCACACTCTGCCATGTGCCACTTTCAGGTCTCCTCACACTGCTGGTGTGTTCCATTTTTTGTCATAGGGTGCTGGCAGATTACGGGCCTCCCATTGCTGCTGCCAGGCCCGTAATCTGCCATGGGCCCCAGTGTACCCCGCCGCCTCCTCATGCTGCTGCCAGGTCCAGAGTGTCTCATGGGTCCCTGTACGGCCTCCCATGCTGCTGTCTCCATCGCCACACTCTGCCATGTGCCACTTTCAGGTCTCCTCACACTGCTGGTGTGTTCCATTTTTTGTCATAGGGTGCTGGCAGATTACGGGCCTCCCATTGCTGCTGCCAGGCCCGTAATCTGCCATGGGCCCCTGCCCCTGTACCGCCTCCTCATGCTGCTGCCAGGTCCAGGTCCAGAGTCTCTCATGGGTCCCTGTACGGCCTCCCATTGCTGCTGTCTCCATCGCCACACTCTGCCATGTGCCACTTTCAGGTCTCCTCACACTGCTGGTGTGTTCCATTTTTTGTCATAGGGTGCTGGCAGATTACGGGCCTCCCATTGCTGCTGCCAGGCCCGTAATCTGCTGCCAATCTGCCATGGGCCCCTGTACCGCCTCCTCATGCTGCTGCCAGGTCCAGAGTCTCTCATGGGTCCCTGTACGGCCTCCCATTGCTGCTGTCTCCATCGCCACACTCTGCCATGTGCCACTTTCAGGTCTCCTCACACTGCTGGTGTCCATTTTCCATTTTTTGTCATAGGGTGCTGGCAGATTACGGGCCTCCCATTGCTGCTGCCAGGCCCGTAATCTGCCATGGGCCCCTGTACCGCCTCCTCCTCTGCTGCTGCTGCCAGGTCCAGAGTCTCTCATGGGTCCCTGTACGGCCTCCCATTGCTGCTGTCTCCATCGCCACACTCTGCCATGTGCCACTTTCAGGTCTCCTCACACTGCTGGTGTGTTCCATTTTTTGTCATAGGGTGCTGGCAGATTACGGGCCTCCCATTGCTGCTGCTGCCAGGCCCGTAATCTGCCATGGGCCCCCCTGTACCGCCTCCTCATGCTGCTGCCAGGTCCAGAGTCTCTCATGGGTCCCTGTACGGCCTCCCCCATTGCTGCTGTCTCCATCGCCACACTCTGCCATGTGCCACTTTCAGGTCTCCTCACACTGCTGGTGTGTTCCATTTTTTGTCATAGGGGCTGCAGCAGATTACGGGCCTCCCATTGCTGCTGCCCAGGCCCGTAATCTGCCATGGGCCCCTGTACCCGCCTCCTCATGCTGCCAGGTCCGCCCCCCTCCTCCTCATGCTGCTGCCAGGTCCAGAGTCTCTCATGGGTCCCTGTACGGCCTCCCATTGCTGCTGTCTCCATCGCCACACTCTGCCATGTGCCACTTTCAGGTCTCCTCACACTGCTGGTGTGTTCCATTTTTTGTCATAGGGTGCTGGCAGATTACGGGCCTCCCATTGCTGCTGCCAGGCCCGTAATCTGCCATGGGCCCCTGTACCGCCTCCTCATGCTGCTGCCAGGTCCAGAGTCTCTCATGGGTCCCTGTACGGCCTCCCATTGCTGCTGTCTCCATCCCGCCACACTCTGCCACACACTCCATGTGCCACTTTCAGGTCTCCTCACACTGCTGGTGTGTTCCATTTTTTGTCATAGGGTGCTGGCAGATTACGGGCCTCCCATTGCTGCTGCCAGGCCCGTAATCTGCCATGGGCCCCTGTACCGCCTCCTCATGCTGCTGCTGCCAGGTCCAGAGTCTCTCATGGGTCCCTGTACGGCCTCCCATTGCTGCTGTCTCCATCGCCACACTCTGCCATGTGCCACTTTCAGGTCTCCTCACACTGCTGGTGTGTTCCATTTTTTGTCATAGGGTGCTGGCAGATTACGGGCCTCCCATTGCTGCTGCCAGGCCCGTAATCTGCCATGGGCCCCAGTACCCCGCCTCCTCATGCTGCTGCCAGGTCCAGAGTCTCTCATGGGTCCCTGTACGGCCTCCCATTGCTGCTGTCTCCATCGCCACACTCTGCCATGTGCCACTTTCAGGTCTCCTCACACTGCTGGTGTGTTCCATTTTTTGTCATAGGGTGCTGGCAGATTACGGGCCTCCCATGCTGCTGCTGCCAGGCCCGTAATCTGCCATGGCCCCCTGTACCGCCTCCTCATGCTGCTGCTGCTGCCAGGTCCAGAGTCTCTCATGGGTCCCTGTACGGCCTCCCATTGCTGCTGTCTCCATCGCCACACTCTGCCATGTGCCACTTTCAGGTCTCCTCACACTGCTGGTGTGTTCCATTTTTTGTCATAGGGTGCTGGCAGATTACGGGCCTCCCATTGCTGCTGCCAGGCCCGTAATCTGCCATGGGCCCCTGTACCGCCTCCTCATGCTGCTGCCAGGTCCAGAGTCTCTCATGGGTCCCTGTACGGCCTCCCATTGCTGCTGTCTCCATCGCCACACTCTGCCATGTGCCACTTTCAGGTCTCCTCACACTGCTGCTGGTGTGTTCCATTTTTTGTCATAGGGTGCTGGCAGATTACGGGCCTCCCATTGCTGCTGCCAGGCCCGTAATCTGCCATGGGCCCCCGTACCGCCTCCTCATGCTGCTGCCAGGTCCAGAGTCTCTCATGGGTCCCTGTACGGCCTCCCATTGCTGCTGTCTCCATCGCCACACTCTGCCATGTGCCACTTTCAGGTCTCCTCTACACTGCTGTGTGGTGTTTCCATTTTTTTAGGTTGCTGGCATTTTTTGCCTCCATAGGGTGCTGGCAGATTACGGCCCCCCATTGCTGCTGCCAGGCCCGTAATCTGCCATGGGCCCCTGTACCGCCTCCTCATGCTGCTGCCAGGTCCAGAGTCTCTCATGGGTCCCTGTACGGCCTCCCATTGCTGCTGTCTCCATCGCCACACTCTGCCATGTGCCACTTTCAGGTCTCTCCTCACACTGCTGGTGTGTTCCATTTTTTGTCATAGGGTGCTGGCAGATTACGGGCCTCCCATTGCTGCTGCCAGGCCCGTAATCTGCCATGGGCCCCTGTACCCCGCCTCCTCATGCTGCTGCCAGGTCCAGAGTGTCTCATGGGTCCCTGTACGGCCTCCCATTGCTGCTGTCTCCATCGCCACACTCTGCCATGTGCCACTTTCAGGTCTCCTCACACTGCTGGTGTGTTCCATTTTTTGTCATAGGGGGTGCTGGCAGATTACGGGCCTCCCATTGCTGCTGCCAGGCCCGTAATCTGCCATGGGCCCCTGTACCGCCTCCTCATGCTGCTGCCAGGTCCAGAGTCTCTCATGGGTCCCTGTACGGCCTCCCATTGCTGCTGTCTCCATCGCCACACTCTGCCATGTGCCACTTTCAGGTCTCCTCACACTGCTGGTGTGTTCCATTTTTTGTCATAGGGTGCTGGCAGATTACGGGCCTCCCATTGCTGCTGCCAGGCCCGTAATCTGCCATGGGCCCCAGTACCGCCTCCTCATGCTGCTGCCAGGTCCAGAGTCTCTCATGGGTCCCTGTACGGCCTCCCATTGCTGCTGTCTCCATCGCATCGCCACACTCTGCCATGTGCCACTTTCAGGTCTCCTCACACTGCTGGTGTGTTCCATTTTTTGTCATAGGGTGCTGGCAGATTACGGGCCTCCCATTGCTGCTGCCAGGCCCGTAATCTGCCATGGGCCCCAGTACCGCCTCCTCATGCTGGCCAGGTCCAGAGTCTCTCATGGGTCCCTGTGTACGGCCTCCCATTGCTGCTGTCTCCATCGCCACACT